TATATCACCTGTCGGGGGCCTGTGTGGATACATACTGTATATCTAGAGACCATTGACCCGTGCCATTCAGCTCTCTGGCTCATTTATTATAATTTAACTTGTTGACAACTATGTACTCTGTCCTTTTAAACGTTCAGTGAATCAGGACATAGTCAACAATGTCTGAGTCAATTTTCACATTAAAATATATCAGGAAGCTACAGTGTAGGAAGCTACATACTGCTTTTTAGTATGTTGATGTGATTTCAGATGTTGCATATATTTTAGCATACATATCGCTCAAGTCAAGTCACATTTAAGCATTTAGCATACAACACAGAATGATTCAAAGTAGCTTCACATTAATGAACAGGAATGGGATTGTTAAAGGGATACTTCAGGGTTTAGCATTAAGCTTTGCATTAGTAGAAAACCTGTAGTATTTTCGAATTACCGTGCTTTCCACCCTCATATCCCCCTGAGACGAGAGATTTATGTATTTTTCGTCTGGAAAAAATCTTCAGTTGTGTCATTGGAGGATTTTTTGGCCAGAGGTTAACGCCGTCCCGCATGTTTTCAACCCGCCCATAGAGGGTGATGGGATCTCACTCACAGAGTGAACACATAGTGTCAGCCATCTTGTTTTGGAAGCTAAGCTAGCAGGCTCTTGTTCTGTGGAGAAAGCCAAGTAGTAGGGGTTACCATCTTTTTCCCGGACATGTCCGGCCGTCGATGTCCGGGATTCAGCTTTTGCTTTCTGCAGTCGCCATTCATTGTTTACATGCACAGCTTTTGTTTCAATCTAACTGAATTTATTCCGATTGGTGAATCTGTATGTAGTGTTTACATGAACGCTAAACAAGTGATCAGTTGATGTGCGTTTTAACATTGGTAAGAAAATTCCCGCTCCTTCGTGAGAGATGCGAGACCGGTGCGTCTCACAGGTGTCGCTCATCGGTAATCACGCCACTGGCATCGCGCCGTTCTCCCGCGTACCTCACTCATCCTGCTCGCTACAGAAAACATGATGAATGGCGACTGTAGAACGCAAAAGCCGAATTTTGAGACTCACTAGTAGCCTACCCAGATAGCAAACTGACATTGAATCAACGTGGAAATATGACATCGAAACAACGTTGATCTGACATTGTTTTGCTCATCGAATTAACGTTGAACCAACGTCAGATGCGTCATTCTTTCAAAACTAACCGAAAATCAACTTGAAATCAACACGTTGTTTCAACGTTATGAAAGCAAACCAATTTTCGATTTCATTTAGCTTTGAAGAATGCCGCGTCTGACGTTGGTTCAACGTTAATTCGATGAGAAAATCAACGTTGTTTCAATGTCATGAGAGACGTCGTTTCCACGTTGATTCAATGTCAGTTTGCTGTCTGGGTAAGCTGTGTCTGAAATCGCTCCCTATCCACTATATAGTGCACTATATCGGGTGTCGGCCATTTTGTAGTGGTGTCCGAATTCTGAGTGAACGACATCATTCCCTACATTCATTCCCTACTTTTACCCACAATCCTCTCTGAATTCAAGTGTACATTCGATGTACACTTGCTGAAGCCCTATTTCCCACAATCCAATGCGGAGAGAACTGAGCGCGCATGAAAGTGCGGCGCGAGCAAGTTTAAACCAGAGATTATATTACATCCACTGGAGGATTTGAAAAATATCCGTTAATAGTCGTTAAGATGCGTATTCATTTGAATTGAATAACGGTCGCCGGAGGGCGCTCAACAACACGTCATCTGTGAACGTGAGAGTTACAATTTCAGTCGATGAAACTACAAAGCTGGCATCGAGGTATATAATTACAAAATAAAGTCATTATGATTGTTATTGTTGTTAATATTATTTTATAAAGTAGGTAATGTAAGATAAAATGAGTTTTATCAGTACGCGTGACGAAGCCTTTACTGCGACAGCTCCAACTCTCCGACGCACAGTGTAAACGTCAGCGTCCGAATTCACTTACTTCATCTCGTTCACTCCTTGCAGATATAGTGCACTCAAATGCCATACACTATATAGGGATTAGTGAATGAGTGAACGAGTGAGCGGTTTCAGACACAGCTCTAGACTTGTTGTTTAACTACTGCGCTCTGTTACCGGTAGGCGTGGCCTCTTAGGGCAGCAAAGCAAGTGCATTCTGAGAGTTGTTGTCTTTCATTCGCATAAGCCAAAAATACATTTTCTGGCTTTTCTCAGTCTAGAAAGCTCACAATTCAAAAATAATTCAACATTTCTTCTAAATAACCCATTTTAAATACGCATTCATCTTTCCAGATGTGAAGTATCCCTTTAATGTTGTAAAATGAATACATTTAGCAGTTCAGCAGCTCTCTAGAGTTTATTCAGTGTTATTTCAAATCAGTTCAATAATTGTGTCAATGCACCAGTTCATCAATTATGAAGTTCAATTCAGCTATAAGCTGCTCTATAGAAGGCATTAGTGAAACTATTGCACTCAGGTCAGTACAAAATCGATTTCATTCAGTTCAGCAAGTGTTAATGTTGCAAAGTTATAGTGTCTTTATTCAGCTCAATTACACTGAAGGAGGAACCCATGCATCATTGGTGCCAGAATCTCATTGAGACTTGGGAGTGGGCACATTTCTTTTAGCCATTAACTTGGCGGTGAGATTTGCATGGAAAAACATCAATGACGTTTTTGTTAGAAAATAGAAAAATGTATTAGTCTACAAGTGAAATTTTGAAAAGGTGATGAAAAGAGTGCAAGATAAAAGCCTGGATAATAACCTTCCTTTTCTTAGGCCACAGTTCAATCCGAACATCCTTCAGATCTGTCTATTCGGCTGTCTTCGCTCTGGGCGACCACATAGCCATCTGTCAGTACCAGCTCAACGGAACATTCAGCAGCACAGATTAGCATAAGCCAAGACTGTTCGTGGCTGCAAAGGAAGACCTGCTTCTGTACCATTGCACTCTATCTTCTGCACTTAACACTGACCCATTTACAATGCAGGCCAGGCAATTGGCGCATATGGTGCCTTCCGCTGATGTAATCTGAAATGGGCCGAACACAGAGCCATGGGGGACCTCGGGCATTATCTCAGTGTGGATGTGTGCTACCCATCCATTTATACCCTCTTTCACTTCCTTCCTTTATTCGCGCTCACAATGGACCACACTGGTGGCCTTTGGTTGCGGTGATGTCGTTACTTTCAGCTCACACATTGATGCCACAACTTCTGGTAATGGCAGCTGTCCAAAGCAGTGGTGGGGGGGGGGTGTAGGGGGTAGGGTTTTGTCTGGATCCAGTGCTAGTCGCGTAGACGATTTGCACGTGCTCAGCTAGCGCTCTGTCAGTGGCCACACTAAAGATTATGATGTCATGCTCATCCAATAACAAAGAGTTTCCTGAATTCGTCCCCCATCCCACCTCCCCCCACTTACACCCAGATAGCTCCAGCTTTATCCAGGACTTGCATTAATCACAAGTGTTATCCTCTTTACTGAGGGAGATAATAAAAGCCACACAGCCTCTGGGCTCGGCAGTGGAAAGAAATAGGGAATGCAGCAAAAGAGTGACCCAAGAAAACAGTGCCACTCTGTTACGTTCAGATGGAACTGGTTTTGGCCAGAAAATCTCAATCAAAGTGCCTATTTTATTTATTTATTTATTTTTTGGAAACAAATAGCACACAAAGGCCCATAGCTGACATGCTCAGTGCCAGCACCATACTAAAACATATGAAACATATGTCGAAGAAGTACCCAAAATATCAAGAGATGACGAATAGTTAAATCTTTTCCTTAATTATTATATCAGGACAATTGTATCGCCCTGACATTTCTCAATTTTTGCCACTCAAAAATAAAGCTATCCATCAATCCATCCCAGCATCTTCAGCTACAGGCAGGGGACACACTGAACGGATGGCCAGGCTCACACACAGACATTCACACTCTCATTTACACCTACAGACAATTTAGTGTCTACAATTCCACCCAAAAAAAGATCAAAATGAATTAATGTAAGTGTATAAGTGTAAATTAATAAATGGGACAAAAACGTGCATATAAAAAAACTGTTGAAATCTGTTACAAAGAGCACGCAAACCTTCTAATTGCAAGCCAAACCGGAAAAGCACGAGTTGGACTGCATGCATGACAGGTGAACTTGAATATGAGGAACCGACAAAATAGATTTCATGAACCAACAACCAAGGCAAGCTGTATCTCTATGCCCTCAAAAAAAGAGTGTTGTGTCATGGTGGCTTTGTTTTCAGTGTTCATCATTGGTGTGACATAAAATTGCACTGCATTCCCTATGCGGCATGACTTTTCTGGAAAGCGAGGTGCACAATAAAGGCGGATCAGTTTTCGCCATTGACCTCACCAGTAATGGCATGAAGTTTTACGTGACATCTGTTGGTTGGATTTCCCCCTAAGAGTTCTGTCAGTTTCACAGAGTGCCTAAAAATATAAAGACTTGGCATGCCAGTCGGGCGGGAAAAATGATGTCATATTCGATGTAGAAGTCATGGAAAACTCAAGTCTCCAATTTCAGAGGCTCTGATAACCAATAAACCTACAGTGGTCCTCCAAATTTAGAAATGCGCAATCTGGGAAGATCAAGGGTAGCTGCTCGCCAGAAAACTTCAAGACCCCTGATTTGTGTTCTCAAACATTTTCTTCGACTTCATCCTGACTGTTGACTACTACACCTAATTACAAAATCATTTTACATAAGGAAGTGTCAAATACTATATGTGCATATGAATTTGCCAGCAGATGTTGCAAGTTGGCGCCAAAAGCAGGGACTCTTTAATGGGTGTTCACAAGTAAACATTAGTTAATTATAATATCGTGAAGCGACATGGTTGTGAAGTCCACACAAAACGAACAGCATTGTAAACTGAACCCTTCAAAGGCTCGCAGCTGTCCGCGTACAGACATCAACCGCCTTTGGATGCCACCGATGGTTCCCCAATTCCTTGATTACATAAACTACCCACACATTCTCCCAAACACACGCTTGATACCTTGACCTTTCCGTTGGGTTGGAGGAGCTCGGTAACTGACACCTTGTCCTGCTGAAGCCTCCTCTTGACCAGTTTGGAACAGCAGACGTTGACGGCACCGTAAACGTGCGAGGCGTTGTACTCCGAGAAAGTCCGACTGTCGATGACCAGCAATCGCCCGGCTCCACGCTGGAGCAGCCCCGCCAGGCGCTTGATATCCATGACGCTGCGACGACCCTTTTCCCCCGCCATGGAGGTACCTGGAAGCCCTCTCTGGATGAAGGTTGCTCACGACGACAACCAAGGCAGAGGGCGGTGGATCAGTGATCTTAAAATCACTGACACGGGTCACAAAGAGACATCAAGGTGCGCATGGTGTCTGAGGAAAAACAAAAGCAACAGTTTTTTTTTACAATCATAACTGGGAAAGGTGCATCTCGTTTCATTTTTTTTGGTCACATAGGATTGTTGTTCCTTGTAAGGAAAAAACTACACAGGACAAAAACAAGTTTGTTCCTGCTTGTTCTTCTTTTCAGCACATGAGCAAACACTATGTCAGAGCAAACATTTGTGACAATAATGATTGATGATGTACAGAAATGTGTTTTTACATTTTACTTGACGGTAACCACATGTCATTCAAACTCAAACATTTTTTTGTAAATGGTATAAGAGTCCTGTTAACCCTTTACAATAATATCCCATTAGTTAACATTAGTTAATGGTGAGTTTCACAAGCATTCGTGAATGTGGACTGAGACACAAAAAATAAATATTTACTTGAATGTCATATAACCATTAACTGACATCAGAGAATCAGAAGTTCAAACGTGCTGCGTAACAATAGAATGAACCCCATTGGTTCTCGCTGAAGTTCAAACGTGCTGCGTAACACTAAAATGAACCCCATTGGTTCTCGCTGAAGTTCAAACGTGCTGCGTAACACTAGAATGAACCCCATTGGTTCTCGCTGAAGTTCAAACGTGCTGCGTAACACTAGAATGAACCCCATTGGTTCTCGCTGAAGTTCAAACGTGCTGCGTAACACTAGAATGAACCCCATTGGTTCTCGCTGAAGTTCAAACGTGCTGGGTAACACTAGAATGAACCCCATTGGTTCTCGCTGAAGTTCAAACGCGCTGCGTAACACTAGAATGAACCCCATTGGTTCTCGCTGAAGTTCAAACGTGCTGCGTAACACTAAAATGAACCCCATTGGTTCTCGCTGAAGTTCAAATGTGCTGTGTAACACTAGAACGAACCCCATTGGTTCTCGCTGAAGTTCAAACGTGCTGCGTAACACTAAAATGAACCCCATTGGTTCTCGCTGAAGTTCAAACGCGCTGCGTAACACTAGAATGAACCCCATTGGTTCTCGCTGAAGTTCAAACGTGCTGCGTAACACTAAAATGAACCCCATTGGTTCTCGCTGAAGTTCAAACGCGCTGCGTAACACTAGAATGAACCCCATTGGTTCTCGCTGAAGTTCAAACGCGCTGCGTAACACTAGAATGAACCCCATTGGTTCTCGCTGAAGTTCAAACGTGCTGCGTAACACTAGAACGAACCCCATTGGTTCTCGCTGAAGTTCAAACGTGCTGCGTAACACTAGAACGAACCCCATTGGTTCTCGCTGAAGTTCAAACGTGCTGCGTAACACTAAAATGAACCCCATTGGTTCTCGCTGAAGTTCAAACGCGCTGCGTAACACTAGAATGAACCCCATTGGTTCTCGCTGAAGTTCAAACGCGCTGCGTAACACTAGAATGAACCCCATTGGTTCTCGCTGAAGTTCAAACGTGCTGCGTAACACTAAAATGAACCCCATTGGTTCTCGCTGAAGTTCAAACGCGCTGCGTAACACTAGAATGAACCCCATTGGTTCTCGCTGAAGTTCAAACGTGCTGCGTAACACTAAAATGAACCCCATTGGTTCTCGCTGAAGTTCAAACGCGCTGGTAACACTAGAATGAACCCTATTGGTTCTCGCTGAAGTTCAAACGTGCTGCGTAACACTAGAATGAACCCCATTGGTTCTCGCTGAAGTTCAAACGCGCTGCGTAACACTAGAATGAACCCCATTGGTTCTCGCTGAAGTTCAAACGTGCTGCGTAACACTAAAATGAACCCCATTGGTTCTCGCTGAAGTTCAAACGCGCTGCGTAACACTAGAATGAACCCCATTGGTTCTCGCTGAAGTTCAAACGTGCTGCGTAACACTAAAATGAACCCCATTGGTTCTCGCTGAAGTTCAAACGCGCTGCGTAACACTATGAACTTCAGCGAGAACCAATGGGGTTCATTTTAGTGTTACGCAGCACGTTTGAACTTCAGCGAGAACCAATGGGGTTCATTCTAGTGTTACGCAGCACGTTTGAACTTCAGCGAGAACCAATGGGGTTCATTCTAGTGTTACGCAGCGCGTTTGAACTTCAGCGAGAACCAATGGGGTTCATTCTAGTGTTACGCAGCGCGTTTGAACTTCAGCGAGAACCAATGGGGTTCATTCTAGTGTTACGCAGCGCGTTTGAGTTCAAACGTCCTGCGTAACACTAGAATGAACCCCATTGGTTCTCGCTGAAGTTCAAAGTGCTGCGTAACACTAGAATGAACCCCATTGGTTCTCGCTGAAGTTCAAACGTGCTGCGTAACACTAGAATGAACCCCATTGGTTTTCGCTGAAGTTCAAACGTGCTGCGTAACTCTAGAATGAACCCCATTGGTTCTCGCTGAAGTTCAAACGTGCTGCGAAACACTAGAATGAACCCTATTGGTTCTCGCTGAAGTTCAAATGTGCTGTGTAACACTAGAACGAACCCCATTGGTTCTCGCTGAAGTTCAAACGTGCTGCGAAACACTAGAATGAACCCCATTGGTTCTCGCTGAAGTTCAAACGTGCTGCGTAACACTAGAATGAACCCCATTGGTTCTCGCTGAAGTTCAAACGTGCTGCGTAACTCTAGAATGAACCCCATTGGTTCTCGCTGAAGTTCAAACGTCCTGTGTAACACTAGAATGAACCCTATTGGTTCTCGCTAAAGTTCAAACGTGCTGCGTAACATTAGAATGAACCCCATTGGTTCTCGCTGAAGTTCAAACGTGCTGCGTAACACTAAAATGAACCCCATTGGTTCTCGCTGAAGTTCAAACGCGCTGCGTAACACTAGAATGAACCCCATTGGTTCTCGCTGAAGTTCAAACGTGCTGCGTAACACTTGAACGAATCCCATTGGTTCTCGCTGAAGTTCAAACGTGCTGCGTAACACTAGAACGAACCCCATTGGTTCTCGCTGAAGTTCAAACGTGCTGCGTAACACTAGAACGAACCCCATTGGTTCTCGCTGAAGTTCAAATGTGCTGCGTAACACTAGAACGAATCCCATTGGTTCTCGCTGAAGTTCAAACGTGCTGCGTAACACTAGAATGAACCCCATTGGTTCTCGCTGAAGTTCAAACGTGCTGCGTAACACTAGAATGAATCCCATTGGTTCTCGCTGAAGTTCAAACGTGCTGCGTAACACTAGAATGAACCCCATTGGTTCTCGCTGAAGTTCAAACGTGCTGCGTAACACTAGAACGAACCCCATTGGTTCTCGCTGAAGTTCAAACGTGCTGCGTAACACTTGAACGAATCCCATTGGTTCTCGCTGAAGTTCAAACGTGCTGCGTAACACTTGAACGAACCCCATTGGTTCTCGCTGAAGTTCAAACGTGCTGCGTAACACTAGAATGAACCCCATTGGTTCTCGCTGAAGTTCAAACGTGCTGCGTAACACTAGAACGAACCCCATTGGTTCTCGCTGAAGTTCAAATGTGCTGCGTAACACTTGAACGAATCCCATTGGTTCTCGCTGAAGTTCAAACGTGCTGCGTAACACTAGAACGAACCCCATTGGTTCTCGCTGAAGTTCAAACGTGCTGCGTAACACTTGAACGAATCCCATTGGTTCTCGCTGAAGTTCAAACGTGCTGCGTAACACTAGAATGAACCCCATTGGTTCTCGCTGAAGTTCAAACGTGCTGCGTAACACTAGAACGAACCCCATTGGTTCTCGCTGAAGTTCAAACGTGCTGCGTAACACTTGAACGAATCCCATTGGTTCTCGCTGAAGTTCAAACGTGCTGCGTAACACTTGAACGAACCCCATTGGTTCTCGCTAAAGTTCAAACGTGCTGCGTAACACGAGAATGAACCCCATTGGTTCTCGCTAAAGTTCAAACGTGCTGCGTAACACGAGAACGAACCCCATTGGTTCTCGCTGAAGTTCAAACGTGCTGCGTAACACTAGAATGAACCCCATTGGTTCTCGCTGAAGTTCAAACGTGCTGCGTAACACTAAAATGAACCCCATTGGTTCTCGCTGAAGTTCAAACGTGCTGCGTAACACTAGAATGAACCCCATTGGTTCTCGCTGAAGTTCAAACGTGCTGCGTAACACTAGAATGAACCCCATTGGTTCTCGCTGAAGTTCAAACGTGCTGCGTAACACTAAAACGAACCCCATTGGTTCTCGCTGAAGTTCAAACGTGCTGCGTAACACTAGAATGAACCCCATTGGTTCTCGCTGAAGTTCAAACGTGCTGCGTAACACTAGAATGAACCCCATTGGTTCTCGCTGAAGTTCAAACGTGCTGCGTAACACTAGAACGAACCCCATTGGTTCTCGCTGAAGTTCAAACGTGCTGCGTAACACTAGAACGAACCCCATTGGTTCTCGCTGAAGTTCAAACGTGCTGCGTAACACTTGAACGAATCCCATTGGTTCTCGCTGAAGTTCAAACGTGCTGCGTAACACTAGAATGAACCCTATTGGTTCTCGCTGAAGTTCAAACGTGCTGCGTAACACTAGAACGAACCCCATTGGTTCTCGCTGAAGTTCAAACGTGCTGCGTAACACTAGAACGAACCCCATTGGTTCTCGCTGAAGTTCAAACGTGCTGCGTAACACTTGAACGAACCCCATTGGTTCTCGCTAAAGTTCAAACGTGCTGCGTAACACGAGAATGAACCCCATTGGTTCTCGCTGAAGTTCAAACGTGCTGCGTAACACGAGAACGAACCCCATTGGTTCTCGCTGAAGTTCAAACGTGCTGCGTAACACGAGAATGAACCCCATTGGTTCTCGCTGAAGTTCAAACGTGCTGCGTAACACTAAAATGAACCCCATTGGTTCTCGCTGAAGTTCAAACGTGCTGCGTAACACTAGAATGAACCCCATTGGTTCTCGCTGAAGTTCAAACGTGCTGCGTAACACTAGAATGAACCCCATTGGTTCTCGCTGAAGTTCAAACGTGCTGCGTAACACTAAAATGAACCCCATTGGTTCTCGCTGAAGTTCAAACGTGCTGCGTAACACTAGAATGAACCCCATTGGTTCT